GTACTGGGATTATAGGCTGAGCCACCGAACCCGGCCTAGAGCCTTTTAAATTTAATTTTTTATTTAATATAATCTACTGTAGGCAAATAAATAAATGAGAGGTTTTTTTTTTTGAGTTGGAATCTCTCTGTTGCCCAGGCTGGAGCGCAGCAGCAAGCTCACAGCCACTGCAGCCTCAACCTGCTGGGCTCAGGTGATCCTTCTACCTCAGCCTTCCAAGTAGCTGGAACCATAGGCACGCGCTGCCACACCTGGCTAATTTTTTGATTGATTGTCTAGACGAGGTCTCGCCAAGTTGCGCAGGCAGGTCTTGAACCCCTGGGCTCAGGCAGTCCTCTCACCTCGGCCTCCCAAAGTCCTGGGATGACAGGCATGAGTCACCACTCCCAGCTTAGAGCTTTTTTAATTGCTTAGATTAGAGCTACATACTCTCAAGCTTGAAGTGAAAACTTAAATAGAGCTTCAGTAAATGCATGTGAAGCATTAGAGAAAGGAAGCCCTTTGTGTTTTGTAAAGCAGTTCTACAAGCATCATCTGTTTCATTTGATCCTAATGTAAGCCCTGTAAAGTAGAGGAGGTTTGGGCAACTTCCTTCTTTTTATAGGTGAGGAAATAGACTCAGGATGGCCCCATAGGCAGTGAGCGGGAAGCAAGACTTGCACCTGCCAGGCCTTCCGACTCCTGGTTGGAGCCCTTTTCCCTCTTCAGAGAGCATCCTAACATTAACCTGTGCACTTCGTGAACTTTCGTTGTTGGGGGACTTACACTTAGAAGTACTTAGGTTTCTTCTTATTCATTCTTTCACTTTGATTGTCGGCTGCTTGGAACTATTTCATTTCTCATCATGTATTGCTTTAAAGAATTTAGAGTGGCTGGGTGTGGTGGTGTATGCCTGTAGTTGTAGCTACTTGGGAGGTTGCAGTGGGAGAATCTCTTGAAGCTGGGAGTTCAAGGCTGTAGTGCACTCTGATCGAACCTGTGAAGAGCCACTGTCCTCCAGCTGGGCAACATAGTGCCTCTTTCTCTTAAAAAAAGAAAAAAAGGAAAGAAAACAAGGAATTTGGTAGTGGTTTGACTGTAGTAGTAGTTGTGACTTATTAAATGTATTGTGTTTTGTAGATACCTATCTGGAAACAGCAGGCAAGACCTGGAAACGGACCTGTGATCTGGGTAAGATGATATATCCAGGTCAGGTGCAATGACTCACACCTGTAATCTCAGCACTGAGGTGGGATAATTGCTTGAGGTCACCAGTTCAAGACCAGCCTGGGCAACATAGTGACACTCTGTCTCAAATTAAAAATGGCCTGGCTCGGTGGCTCAACCTGTAATCCCAGCACTTTGGGAGGCTGAGGTGAGTGGATTGCCTGAGCCTGCGGGTTCAAGACCAGCCCGGGCAACTTGGCGAGACCTCATTTCTACAATAAATAAATTTTAAAAATTAGCCGGGTGTGGTAGCACTTGCCTATAGTTCCGGCGACTTGGAAGGCTGAGGTGGAAGGATCCCCAGAGCCCAGCAGGTTGAGGCTGCGGTGGCCGAGAGGTGTGCCACTGCCCTCCAGCCTGGGTGACAGAGTGAGACTCCAACTCAAAAAAAAAAAAAAGGTTGGGCATGATGGCTCAAGCCTATAATCCCAGCACTTTGGGAGACCGAGGTAAGAGGATTGCCTGTGCCCAGGGGCTCGAGACCAGCCTGGGCAACTTGGTGAGACCTCGTCTCTACGATAACTGAAAAGTTAGCCAGGCATGATGGTGCTTGCCTATAGTCCTAGCTGCTTGGAAGGCGGAGGCGGAAGGATCACCTGACCCCAGCAGGTCGAGGCTGCGGTGGCCGTTAGCGTGCGACTGTACTCCAGTCTGGGCGACAGAGACTCTGACCGCCCCCACCCCCCCAAAAAAGTAGGCTAGTTGCAGTTTCTCACACTTGTTATCCCAGTATTTTGGGAGGTTGAGGCAGGAGGATTACTTGATCCTTGAGGCTAGGAGTTCAAGATGAGCCTAGACAGCATGGCAAAACCCTAGCTCTGTTTTTGCGGAAAGACAAAAGATGTTTAATACAGAGAACCTTTGCTGTATTCTCACTTGTAACCCTTAGTGTTCTGCATGTTTTGAGGAAGGAGAAATGATGGGGGCAGGACGGGAAGGCTGAGGTAGTTACTCTTAAATCGACCCAGACGTTATTTGGTCTGCGGGAGAAGCGCTGTGGGCACATTTTCTTTTGACTTTATTTATTTTTGAGTTGGAGTCTCACGCCGTCGTCCAGACCGGAGTGCAGTGGCTGCTCCCGGCCACCGCAGCCTCGACCTGCTGGGCTCCGGCGATCCTTCCGCCTCCGCCTTCCAAGTAGCTGGAACTACAGGCGCACGCTACCACACCCGGCTAATTTTTTATTTTATTTTATTGTAGAGATGAGGTCTCACCAAGTTGCCCAGGCGGGTCTCAAACCTGCGGGCTCAGCCAATTCACTCACCTCAGCCCCCCAAGGCGCGGGATTACAGGCTGAGCCGCCGAGCCCGGCTTATTTATTTGTTTTAGAGACAGGGTCTCGCTGTCGCTCGGGCTGGAGTGCAGGTACACTATTATGGCTCACGTAGCCTCCGCCTCCTGGGCGAAGGCAGTCCTTGCCCCTCACCTCCCAAGTAGCTGGGACTGCAAGTGTGTGTGCCACTTGGCTACTAGGCTTTTTCATTTTTTGCAGAGATGGGATCTCACTATGTAGCCCTGTTCTCAAACTCCTGGCCTTAATTAGTCCTACCACAATCTCCCATCTTGCTGGGATAGCAGGCATGAGCTACTGCACCTTTCCTTAGTATAAAACAACATTTTTTTTTTTGAGTAGGAGTCTCACTCTGTCGCCCAGGCTGGAGTGCAGTGGCACATTCATGGCACTGCAGCCTCGACCTACCGGGCTCAGGCAATCCTTCTGCCTTGGTCTTCCAAGAAGCTGGAACTATAGGCGCGCACTACTATGCCTGGCTAACTTTTTTTATTTATTGTAGAGACGAGGTCTCACTAAGTTGCACAGGCTGGTCTCAAACCCCTGAGCTCGGACAGTCCTTTTGCCTTGGCCTCCTAAAGTGCTGGGATTATAAGCTTGAGCCACCGTGCCTGGCAAAAACCATATATTTACTGAGTGTGCTTTATATGGCTGGCCAGAGCAGGCTAAAACCTCTGGCCTCACAGAGCTCACGTCTTGCTTCCTTTGCCAGCAGGTGATCTGTTGCTCTGACCTGAACACCATACCCAGCAGCGCTGGGGTTAGAAGCGTGGGCTCTGCAGTCAGGCAGACAGGGTTCGAGTCCTAGGCCTCTCATTGGTCAGCTGTGGGCTCTGAACACAGTATTCCCATGTGGTCAGTGGAGTTGTGAAGCTTCAATGAGACAGTGCATGGGAAACTCCCTCTGGTGTCTGGTGTGGCAGCTGGTGCTCAGGTGTTAGCAGTTACTGCTCACAATGGCACACGGTCCTGCTGCAGTCTGTCCCTCTGCACCAGAGGTTGTCCTGGCTGCAGAGTGGCCGAGTCCGAGCTGTGGTCTTCCTCCTCATCACGGGGGAGCTTGGAGGGAAAGGGCTGTGGTCACGACTGTCTTGCACGTCTCACGCGGCGTGAAGTGGGGAGTCCTGGGCGAGGCCTCCCACGCCCCCGCCACATTCCTCTCTGCCTCGCTGCTGTCCTGTTGTGGGGATGGGCAGGTCTTGCTGTTGAAGACCCGGGTGCCCATGAGGCCGCAGCCCTCCTCTGGCTCGGCTGGGCCTTTTCGTGGCAGCTGGGTGGACACGGAGCAAACTCAGAGTGAGGCTGCCGCTGCTGAAGTGGCGGGCTTCGGTTGAGGCCCGACTGCCCGCCACGCAGCGTGCCCGCTGTTGGTGCGGACAGGGCAAGGGCGGATGGGTGGAGAGGGGTGCTGCACTGCTGGAGACGGCATGCCGGAGGTGCGTGCTGGTAACCAGAGATCCAAGAAATGCAAAGAGTTGCAACACACACAGAGGTGAAAGAAGACAAGGGTCATTTAAGAAAGGTTCACTTCCCACAGGCAGGAAGCGGGGCTGCGCTCCAGATGAGTGTGGCCTGTAGCCTGCGCCCCTCAGCCCTGGCTTAAATTCTTTCCCTTGGAGGTGTTGCAGTCAGGCAGGTGTGACCGCCGTGACTTCCTTACTGTCCGTCTGTGAATGTCTTGGAGACCCTGTGACCCAGAGACCCACTAATGTCCACCCACATTATTGCAGCCCCTAGAGAAGGGCGAGATGAGTGTCCCACTGCTCCCATACGTTCCTGAATAACATTCCTTAGAGCTAATGGAGGGTGCACTTCCCTTTATCTCCTGTGCATTCTCGGCAGGCAGCCCGGGGGATCCTTGACTTGCAGACAGGGCCCAATCTGCTGGAAGGTTGAATCCCCACTTGCTTCCCCCTCTGAGCTGTCACTTGTAATCACAGGTTTTGTGATTTGCATGACTTTTGCCGAACGCATGAAGTCTTAGGCCTTGAAACTCCCTTTACTCTAGGCAAGCTATGAGATGCCTCTGATGCCTGGCACCGGGAAGTCTGGGTTTCAAAGAAAAGACAAAGTCGGCAAAGTTAATCTTTACCTGAACTATACATTTCTCCAAAACATAGCCTCTTCTTTCCCATCATTGTGTTAGGGTTTAAGAACAAGATAAAAAATGGCTTCCCACTCTCCATCTGTCCTTTCACCAACTGCGGAGACAAATATGGCTGGGGACAAAGGTGTTTTATTCTGGTGATGTCAGCCGAGGAGAACAGGAGACTCTTTCTCAAAACTGCTTCCCTGTCCCTCTGAAGTCAGGGGTTTATATAATGGGGCAGGAATGTAGAAAACAGGAGGACTGGGCAGGGTCAGGAAGAAGAGCAGATGGATGGGGACTCCAGAGGGTCTGGCATCTCAGTCTGGATGCTGTGATCTGCTGAGTTTCTGTTCCTTGATACCATAGGCCTGAGGGTGGGTTTCCTGAGAAGGGAACTCAGAGAAGACAGATACACGTTTCAGACTTTGAGACTGGGAAGGTCTGTTTCTACGTGAGTTCCACAGGGAAGCTGGGCCGATATCACTGCTGCTCACATCTGTGACCTTGAGCAGACGCAAAGGTGATTCCGAGAGAGACCTGCGTTTCTCCCCGAGTGCAGCAGCCCCCTGGGATGTGGGAATATGGACTTGCTCAGGTAGGTGTGGATAGTCACTGCTCACACCTTTCACACTTTGTACCTCCTTCCTGGAAAGCTCCCTCCAGGCAGGACTCAGCCGTGGTGTTCCTTCCTTGAGAACCTCTCCTTGGCAATGGGACCTCTGTTTCTTGGCTGGCTTTCAAAAAGGCAGGCCGTCTCCATACGGATATTCCTCTGAGGCAGGCACTCCGCTTATCTCCATCTTATGTGGGAGGAAACTGAGGCTGGCAGGTGGAGGCTGAGATGCACGGGTATAGGGGGCCACCCACCTCCTGGGTCTCTGCAGGACTCCTGGGATGGTGTTTGAGGAAGGGCGTCTGAACGGACACCCTTAGAAACGCCAGATGCTGTGACTGGTGTTGTTGGGCTGTTTTCCTTTGGCAGTGCTGTTCTCTGTGAGGGTGTTCTTCTTTGGAGGGCTCAAAGGCAGCAGACTGCTCGTGTCACGCTGATCACCTGCCTGCCGTCCCTTTCAGTCTCTGCCAGTGCTGGGCGCTTCCTTGCACCTGGGAGTGAAAGCAAGGATCCCCAGAACTGAGCTGCAGGGAGTCACTGTCTTTTCTTTCCTCCCTGGTGGCTACAGATGAGGGCTTGGCTAACCTCTTTATTTTTATTATTTTTAAAAATTTTTAGAGACGAGGTCTCGCTTTGTTGCCTAGGCTGGTCAAGAACCAACTCTGGGCTCAAGTGATCCTCTTGCCTCAGCCTCCCAAAGTGCTGGAATTATAGACATGAGCCACCATGCCCAGCCCAACTTCTTTTTAAAAAATATTCTTTTCTGGCTGGGTGTGGTGGCTCACACCTATAATCCCAGCACTTTGGGAGGCCGAGGTGAGAGGATTGCCTGAACCCATGGGTTCAAGACCAACCTGGGCAACTTGGTGAGACCTCATCTCTACAATAAATCAAAAAGTTAGCTGGATGTGGTGGCACATGCCTGTAGTTCCAGCTACTTGGAAGGCTGAGGTGCAAGGATTGTCTGAGCTCAGCAGGTCAAGGCTGCAGTGGCTGTGAGTGTGCCACTGCACTCCAGCCTGGGCAACAGAGTGAGACTCTGACTCAAAAAAAAAAAAAAATCCTTGTGTGTGCATGTGGACTTCTGAATGCATGTGTGTCCTTCCACATGCATAACCTTAAAAAATAGCACATATGCCCATATTCTACAATTCACTTTTTCTGTCCAACTGTATAACACGAACACTTTTCCATTTTCCATGCATATTTCTAAAGGTTTTTGAAAAAAAAGTGTTCATTTTTAAAAAGTTAATACATTTAGAGGGTATAAGTGCAGATTTCTTACATGTGTGTATTGCATGGTGGTGAAGTCTGGGCTACTGTTTATTTTTATGAGCTGCATAAGTCTTCCAACACATGGCTGTATCATAGAGATGAGGAGGTCTCACTATGTTGCCCAGACTGGTCTTGAGCGCCCAGCCTCAAGCAGTCCTCTTGCCTTGGCCTCCCAGAGTGCTGGGATTTCAGGCGTGAGCCACTGTGCCTGGCTAACCATTCCCCTCTTTATGGACCTTTGGCTGTTTCTGAATTTTCACTGTTGCAGTTTTCTGTTTGTAGCCCCTTATGTGCCTCTAGCCATGGTTCTGTAAGATAGTTTCCTAGAGGTAAAATTGCTGTGCCAGAGGGTACACATGGCATGTATCGAACATTTGCATGATTTTTTTTCCTGAGTTGGAGTCTTACTCTGTCGTCCAGACTGGAGTGCTGTGGCATGCTCATGGCCACCACAGCCTCGACTTGCTGGTCTCAGGCGATCCTTCTGCCTCAGCCTCCCAGGTAGCTGGAACTACGGGCATGCGCCACCACATCTGGCTAATTTTTTAATTTGTTGTAGAGATGGGGTCTCACCAAGTTGCCCAGGCTGATCTTGAACCCATAGGCTGCGGCAGTCCTCTCACCTCGGCCTTCCAAAGTGCTGGGATTGTAGGTGTGAGCCACTGCGCCTGGCCCCATTTCCATGATTTATTTCACTGTTTTCTAGCACTGGGCATTATCTGTTTCCAGGGTTTTGTGTGGGCTTTGTTAGTCTTGCGCACGTCTTGGGTGACACATGTGCCTCACCACTGGGCCCTCGTCTCCCTACGTAAGGTAACGGTGGTGCCTTCCCTTCCAGGATTACCACGTGGTTTTGCTTCATGTGTCAGCTGGAGGCCAGAGTTTCATCTACGACCTCGATACCGTCTTGCCATTTCCCTGTCCCTTCGACACGTACGTGGCAGGTGCCTTTAGGTCTGACGAGGATATCCACCCACAGTTTAGGAGGTGAGGAGGTTCGGTGGCTTTATTCATCTTCTGTGGTGAGACCTTGACCGTCCTACAGAGGCTCTTTTTCTTGCATTTGTTTTGTAAAGATTACGTTCTGGAGTTGACATTTGAGAGTGAGGTGATCGCGACACAGGAGACTCAGAATGTCCTGAAGCTGTAAAGGCCATTCATCACCTGGAAATCAGCACTTTCACAAATGTGTGTGGCGAGATTGCAGACATTTTCCTCCAGCGTATGGGGGCGTCTCTCTTGCTCTTTTGTTTGGGGAGCTGGGGGATACTCTGTGCTGCCAGTATTGAGCCCCGCCCTTTGCCCGACACACAGTTGAGGGAATGAAGGCCGGAGGTGTGTTTCTGTGCTTTGGCCTCTCTGCTGTGGGTTTTAGGTGATCCTTTTCTGTGGCTTTTTTAATAGATAATACAGCTGCAGACATAGATGTGCATTATTAACTGTGCAGAAATGCGTGACTAGTTTTGTGCACGTCGGAGAAAACAAGTCCACGTAAAAACTTAACAGGAGTTTCCGATGTGACGCCTCCCTGATGTCAGTGTATGTTGTACCCGCAGGAAGTTTAGAGTGATCCGGGCAGACTCCTACCTGAAGCACTTTGCCTCTGACCGCTCTCACATGAAGGACGCCAGTGGGAACTGGAGAGAGCCTCCCCCACCATACCCCTGCATCGAGACCAGGGGTGAGCTGCCGTACCCTTGCAAGGGGCTTCTGATCGCCCACAGCCAGATCAGGGCTTCCCTCCCCAGGACAGGGTCAGGCCATTCTTTGAGAAGACTCCCTGAGTGGCAAGGAGGTGCTAGGGAGCACGACTTCGTGCGCTGATTAGGGTCAGCCACTGAGGCGGGGAGGTCAGGCCTGGAAGGCATGGAGGCCACGGGCAAGGAAGGGTGTCAGAGCAGAGCCACCGTCCTTGCTGACTGCAGGATGGTTGGACGTGCCTGTTGCGGACACCTGACTGTGGGAGGTCCATGTGTGTGTCATCTAACCGTGGGCCCAGCGGCACCTTGCCGTGGTAGGATTTGTGCCCGTTGCATCCTTAGGATGCTGGGTAATAAAGTCTGCACAGTGGAGGTGAACGCTAGTGGGACTTACTGCATCAGCAATCTCATGTGTCTTAGGCGTCACTCCAACTGAGAATTTCCAGAGATGGTGTCCTCGCACTACTGCTAGTGTTTGGCGTTCGCATGAGTTGAAACGTTGTCTGTGAGTGTGAGCAGCTCCCAGGACTCCCGCTTGCTGAGCTCATCCTGACATGTGCCGTGCGGTCTGGGAAGAGCGCTCCGGAAGCTGTGTGGCAGGCCAGGAAAGCAGGGCAGTCGTGTCCCCGTTCAGCAGGGAGAAAGTCAAGGTGTATTTGGCTTACCTGAAGGGAGTGAACACGAAGAGAGTCCAGACTTTGATTTCTGTGGTTTTCTGTGAAAAGCTCTCATCATTTACAAAATGTGTGTTGGGATTGCTTTGGGGTGTACTAGTCTGCCCCCTGGCCTCAGGGCAAGAATTAGGGAGGCTCCTGGGTCACGTGCCAACTGCCCAGGGGTCTGCCTCTTGGGCTCAGGCCCCCTGCCACTCAGGCCTGGTCTGGGTGCACGTACCTTCGGCAGCACCCATTTCTCTCAGCTGCGAGCACCTAAGGCGGAGCCTAGTAGGCATTTAGTTAACATGGCCTGCAGCCTTGGGTCTGCGTGGACCATCCCTTTGGTTCTGGTGACTGTTAATCGTTGGATGCCCTTTTGTGCTGGACTTTGTCAGCCTGGTTGCATGGTAGTTTAGTTTCATTTTCACCGGAGACCAGTGCAGCGGGCTCTGCTTTCCTCGTCTGAGGGACGGATGACATGCACTCTGTGCAGAGCCCCCTCTGACTCTCCCCGCAGCACCCCTCAGTCTAGGTGTGTGGGATTTTTTTTTTTGTGGTCAAACTGAGGTATATGTTGGAGGCAAGAAACCCGCAGAAGAGCTGTGGTTCCCCTGCCACTTGAGTAGCTTTTGCTACTTTGGTTTTCTAGGGTGTTTAACGAAGTTGTGTTTTCTGTGGACACTTTTTTCATGTATTTTTCTAGATTCCAAAATGAACCTGAACGATTTCATCAGTATGGATCCTGAGGTAGGATGGGGCGCTGTCTACACGCTGTCTGAATTTGCACATCGGTTTGGCAGCAGAAATGACTGAACTTGTCATGAGGACATGGACAGCAGAGACGGTCCAGGATGTGAGCAGCTGTCCCTTCCTTTAGGACAGCGGACGTTATTGTACAGTTGGCTCGGGTTGTGTTTTTCTCTTTTTACTCAGTTGAGTGAAACAGTGAGTGAATGCAGATGTAAATAAACTCCATGAAAATGTTCGTTTTGGTATGTCAGGCTGAGACTTGAGGCCGGGCATGGCTGCTGAGCTGCTCCTGTGGCTCATCTGTTAAGATGCCCGACGGTGCCACTGTTTTTGTCCCAACAGCCACCTCCTCAGGTCTGGCTGCCTGTTTGTGTCTGTCAGCGGCACCGTTTGATCCCTGAGGGCTATAGCATGGCCCATGGCTCTGTGAGTCTCTGCTGCCCGTAAGGTGCGACCCACTGCTCAGTGGCTCTTTCTTTCCCAGAAAGCACGGCCCATGGCTCTGTGGCTCTCCCCTGCCCGTAACATAAAGCATGGTCCACTGCTGTGAATCTCTCATGCCCTTAAGAGGGACCCATAAATGTTTTCTTTTTTCTTCTTTTTTTGAGTCAGAGTCTCACTCTGTCGTCCAGGCTGGAGTGCAGTGGCACGTTCACGGCTTCTGCAGCCTCAACCTGCTGGGCTCAGGGGGTTCTTCCGCCTCAGCTTTCCAGGAGCTGGAACCACAGGCATGCACCACCATGCCCGGCTAATTTTTTGATTTACTGTAGAGACAAGGTCTCGCCAAGTTGCCCAGGTTGGTCTCAAACCTGTGGGCTCAGGGAGTCCTCTCCCCTTCGGCCTCCCACAGTGCTGGGATTACAGGCATGAGCCACCGCGCCCAGCTCCATCAATGTTTTCTAGTGGCTATGCTATTGTCTGAATAGGGATAGTATTGTGAGCTGAACCCATAAGAATATTAATTTTTCTGGACTATGATATTGTTAAAAAGATTGCAGCCCTCTCAGACTTGAGTGTTATTTGGCTTATTTATATATGGTTTTAAATAAAATTGATTTTAAATTATTTTTGTTTTGAAGATTGGTGTCACCTTTGATGATGTGAAATACTTGAGAATGTTTCGATCATAGATGAGACCATGGCTTTGGAATCACATGTGCCTTTTTGAAGCTGTCTCAGTCGTTTGGCTTTAATCATATAATTCCAAATAAAAGACCCTTGGCATTAAACTGGGGTGGAGTACTGGCTGTCATTCCTACTTTCATGATTCTTCTGTAAAAATGAGCAACTTCTGACAGCAAGAATGCCTGAGCCTTTGTTCTTACAGGCATCTCTGCTTGTTAAGAAGCTGCCACTGGTACGAAGCCTCTTGCTTGGCTGCAGGGCACAGCTTTGACCTTGACTCGGGATCAGTTAGTCTCGGGAAGTGCCGCTGATCCTGCTGATTCAGCCGAGGAGGGAGATGCTGGAAGGAAGTGAATGAATTTTTGGTAAGAAGAACACACAGCCTCTTGAGTTACGGTATGATATGGAACTAAATATGGACCCCACACGTAGATGCCTTGGTTGAGTTTCAGATGGTCATTTACAAACTTCTTGGCTAAAATGAAGATGATAACCATCGGCAGGATACACAACAGACATACTTAGTCCTGAGCAAAAAGTTGTAGAGGGACCAGAAGATTATAATCTGATTTGCAAATGGCATTTTGGGGGTTTTTCTGGTCAATTTTATGAGCATGTTTCCACTCTGATGTTTAGAAGTATGTCTAGTGCAGAGAAATCAGACAGTGTCTGTGTGGGAGTTTGAACTCTGCAGCCACTTGGCCTTGACTTTGAAAACACACATGTCGGCTGGGCTCGGTGGCTCAGCCTATAATCCCAGTACTTTGGGAGGCTGAGGCAAGTGAATTTCCTGAGCTCACGAGCTCAAGACCTGCCCGGGCAACTTGGTGAGACCTTGTGTCTACAATAAATGAAAAATTAGCCAGGCCTGGTAGTGGGTGCCTGTAGTTCGGCCACTTGGAAGGCTGAGGCAGAAGGATCGCTGGAGCCCAGCAGGTGGAGCTGGGGTGGCCATGAGTGTGCCACTGCACTCCAGCCTGGGCGACAGAGTGAGACTCCAACTCAAAAAAAAGAAAACACATGTCTCCTCAGTGTAAGGAGGAGCAAGGGACTTTGATCCTCAGCCTGTGAAATAGCCGCTGGTCCTGATCATGACTTGTTAGTAGCAATAACGGACACCTGCTGTTTTCCTACCCCACTCTCTTAAATGCTCTCCGGGAACTCTTCTTTGCATGTACCTTGTAGTCCTGGGAGGCCCTAGGTGTAGGGATGTGCCTGCACTGGGCTGGGCTTGAATCCCACTGCTAGGTGAGTCCAGAAGGACTGCCCAGCGTTCTGTGCTAGATTGATGCTGAGAGAAAGTCTCCATCCACTGGGATTGCCAAGCTGAGGATGGGGGCACTGGGTGGCTCGTGGGCACCTAGATTATTGAGCCAGGGACAGGAGACTGGGGCTGAAGGTGGGCACCTCGATGACTAAGCCAGGGATTGGGGAAGGGGCTATGGGTGGGCACCTTGGCTTCTAAACCAGGGATGCGGATGGGGCTTTGGGTAGGCACGTTGGCTACTAAGCAGGGATAGGGGACGAGGCTCCTGGCGGGCACCTTGCCCTCTAAGCCAGGGATGGGTGAGGGGGTCGCTGGTGGGCACCTTGCCTTCCGCAGCAGGTCCCTGACCCAGTATGTGGCCACACGGAGCTGTCAGGGTGAGAGCTCTGGGCGCTTGGGAGCCCCTGGATCTATGTGTGCTTGAAGCAGCCTCGACTTCCAAACCTCCTTTTATCTTTAACCTGGTGTGTCATTTTAAGTGAAAGTAGGTTTCCTTACAAGATTTTTCTTCTAAGTTGTTTCAACTTTACCTGTATCTCTCTGTGCTTAATCAATCTTGCCTCCTTTTCTTGGGTTTCTTTCTTGGAGAGTGGAGGAAAGAGAGCGGGAGCTTAATTTTTCTTGGAGGTTAGATTTCTTTCTCTTTATACTCATTATGTGTGCGAGACTTTCTGTTTGGAAAGTGAATATTCCAGCTAAAGCAGGGGACTTATATAGAATTGTAAGTTGACTGACAGAAAAGAAACAAGGCATGTCTAGAATCTGGTGCGCAAAGAGGCTGGGAAGCAAATGTACAAATATTAAATGGCTCCTGCAGCAGCAAAACTGGCCATGCTGGATTGCAGATGTTTTGGGAGCTCTTAAGAAAATGATGTCTTTCTTTTAGTTTTATCTATCTATCTATCTATCTATTTATTTTTGTGTGTGTGTTGGAGTCTCACTCTGTCACCCAGACGAGTGCAGTGGCCGCTCCCGGCCACCACAACCTCAACCTGCTGGGCTCCAGCGATCCTTCTGCCTCAGCCGTCCAAATAGCCGGAATTATAGGCATGTGCTACCACGCCCAGCTAATTTTTGATTTATTATAGAGATGAGGTCTCGTCAATTTGCCCAGGCGGGTCTTGAACCCGCGGGCTCAGGCGGTCCACTCACCTCAGCCTCCCAAAGCGCAGGGTTACAGGCTGAGCCACCGAGCCCGGCTTGATGTCTTTCTTTAGAGGTGGGATTGGGTAGCAAAATAACAGTAAAGGCAGACTTTTTAATGTTCTGTGGTTTTTTTTCTTTTGAGTTGGAGTCTCTCTGTCACCCAGGCTGGAGTGCAGTGGCACACTCACAGACTTAGGCGACCTTCTGCCTCTGCCTTCCAAGTAGCTGGAACCACAGGCATGTACCACCACACCCAGTTTATTTTTTGATTTATTGTAGAGATGAAGTCTTGCCAAGTTGCCCAGACTGGTCTCAAACCCATGGGCTCAGACAATTCTCTCACCTCAGCCTCCCAAAGTGCTGGGATTATAGGCATGAGCCACTGTGCCCGGCCAGTATTGTGTGTTTTTTCTCAGAAATGCACAAATTCAAAACCCATAAGAGTGAATGGTGAAAAGTAAGCTTCCCTCCCATCTTATCCTCTAATTTTAATTTCCCTACCCAGAAACAAGCTCTTTTTTAGTTTATTTTATATAACCCTCTTCCAGGAATTTTATCTGCCCATGTATGTTTTAAATTCTATTCCCTCCCACCTACCACCATAGTAATATTCTAAACCTATTCTGCATTTTACTTTTTTTTTTTTTGAGTTGGGAGTCTGTGTCATGCAAGCTGGAGTGCGGTGGCATGCTCACGGCCACTGTAGCCTCGGCCTACTGGGCTCAGGCAACCCTTCCACGTCAGCCTTCCAAACTGGAACTACAGGTACACACCACCATGTCCAGCCAATTTTTTGATTTATTGTAGAGATGAGGTCTTGTCAAGTTGCCTAGGCTGTTGTTGAACCCATGGGCTCAGGCAGTCCTCTCACCTCAGCCTCCTAAAGTGCTGGGATTGTAGGCGTGAGCCACCATGCCCTGCCTGCATTTTACTTTTTAAAGTTAATAAATTTGACTGAGCATGGTGGCTCACGCCTGTAATTCCAACACCTTGGGAGGCTGAGGTGGGAAGATCACTTGAGCCCAGGAGTTTGAGGCTGTAGTGAGCCAAGATGATACCACTGCACTCAAGCCTGACAGAGCCAGGCCCTGTTTCAAATCATCAAGATTTGGGATTACTATACACATGTTAGGTTTGCACTCCCTAGTGATTGAAAACCTGGGACATGCCAGACATATGCCATTCAGGGAAGAGGATGTCTTGACTAGACTTTGGAGAACAGAATCGGGTCAGTGGTCAGGGCTACAGGGCAGGTTCCACCCGTCCATCTACCTGCCCCTCTGCCTACTGTCTCGTACAGGCCAACCATTTGCAGAGTCCGACCCTGGTGCACAAGACAGAACCCCTGACCACCAGGAGAGAGAAGCAGGGTGCTCAGTTCCCAGGACAAGGCTGTGACTCCTCCCATCTGCAAGCAAAGTAGGGAAGCGGCCTTGGTGGAGCCCTTGCTGTAGGGTTCCTCCAGCAAAGACCTGGCACTCGGAGCAGGTGCATAAGCCAAGATGTGAGCAGGTGCATAAGCCAAGGACTTGGCTGTCATCTGTATGAGCTTTGAAGGCAGAAGTGGCGGTTCCAGAACAGACAGTACAGAGAAAGAAAACTTGGGAACTACAAGAGGATCTGTGGGCCAAAAAGAGAATCCAGCTTGAACCAGAATGACCTCCACGGCGTCCCTGATTGGCGATATCACCAGCTCCTTGATGAGTTGTGTTAGCGTGCTGTCTCTCCTCCAGCTGGCCTGTGGGGACGGGGTATACATGTGGGGTGCATAGACCTCTTTCCCGAGGCCAGTGACCGTCCCTCTGAGCAAGTCCTTTGTCACGCTCAAGAAACACTGGATCAGGGAAACGCCCTAGTTACGACTCGGGAATGATCTGGGCTGAGTGCTGTGTTGATGCCAGCCCAGTCTCTGATGCTGAGCGGGCAAAGGGTGCCAAGACTCTCACCCTGGAGTGTGTTTTGTGCAACCACGACAAACGTCATCTGCATGCGTGAGTAGCTTGTGAGACGCTTGATGTCCTTTGAGGCGCTGTTAATTGTGAAGTCCCTGAAATGGTATGGAACTGGGCACGGCCAGTTATGTGGGTGGGGCGTGGTCACGAGTGTCAGTGATGCCACCAAAGCCACTTCTCTGGTGAAGAAATGATAGGACTCCGTGTGATTGGGCCCCGGTCCCCCGTCTCCTGCCCTTTGCCCCTCCCCCTTGTTTAAACTATTGCTTGTGCCTTTTCTCAGGGGACTTGGAAGATTCCCCCTACTCTAGGAACGTTTTGTCCACTTCTCGGGGCACCATGGGAGGAGAGGTGGGAGGGGCAGGATCCCTGCATCTCTATGTGGTTGGAAGCAGAGTAGGTGTAGCCTGCTGTGGTGTAGTAGGGGTTCCCAAGCCTGAGTCCTGACACACATCGTGTGTGCAGATGTGTGTGTTTTCCTGGAAGAAGGACCCGGAACTTGTGTCATCTTGTGACTTTCAGAGTCTCTGTTGGCTGGGTGCGGTGGCTTAGCCTGTCATGCCAGCACTTTGGGAGGCCAAGGCGAGTGGATCGCCTGAGCCCTGCGATCAGAGATGGGCACTTGGGTGCTTGTAGGACAGGAGGCCGTCAAGCTCCCCTGGGGCCTGGGGGAAATGTCCTTCAAGGCTGCCCACTCCAGTCACCCGCCTTGTGTGTGGACGCTGCAAAGAACACACATCCGT